CCCTGCAGAGCATCATCTCATGGCAGAGCTAAGCTTTCCAGAGAGACTGTTGAGTTGGCACTGCCATGCCTGTGGTGGCTGGGATGGCCTTGAGGCTGAGCCCACAGAGTGTGCTCAGTCAGCAGCTGGCACAACAGAGAGGACAGGCAGGGGTTTTGGCCTCCCAAAGACAGGCACTTTTCCAAATGCGGTCCTGATTGAGTCCCTAAGAGATGAGTGAGCTGTGCTTGCAATGCCATCACTGGTTCAAAAGCTGCAACGAGAGGGGTGGTGAGAAATGCTTACTGTGGTTGGAAACAACCTTTGATCTTTTTCTGAAACATACATCAAGTTTATATTTTAAAAGACCAACTTCAAACCCTCTGCCGTTTACTAGCGAAAAGGAAGCAAAGCGGGAGTTAAGAGAGGCTTCCTTTTCTCCACTTGTGCAGATGTGGTAAGCAAGCAGAAAGGGAGGACTTCCCTATCTGTGTTTGCAAGTTCATTACTGATGGTGGAGTTAACGATGTTCCCCCAGGACTTTTATGAAGAAAATGAGCAGAATGCAGAGCTCCAAGCGTTAGCATTTTAGATGCATTAAGCCGTCTAGACCACATGTGAAAAATGTCATTGCCTACTGAGCAGTTAATGTGCACATCAGTTATGGCTCAAACTGTTCTGTCTTTTGAAAACCAGAGGAGACAGAACTCAATATAATTCAGGTGGCCTGTAATTGCTTTGTTTTGCTAAACACTGCATGAAGTGATGGAGTCCTGAAGTTGAAAGTGTTGCAATAAAGGTCTTACATGGGTTTGCATGTGGAGCAAAAACCACTGAGTGCCTGAAACTTGGTAGCAAGAGATTTTTTTAAAGCATATTCAATTTACTGGTAAAGATTCACCTCCCCAGTACTAAGTATGCTGCTTCCTGAAGGGGAAGAAAGCATGAAAAAATGCATATGTATGCACTGTATACCATATATATATATATTTGTATTTATACACTTGCATGTGTATACACTTGTATGTATATATACCATATACATATTTCTATTTATACACTTGCATGTATGCACACACATTATAGTTTGCTGTTAAGACCATAGCTATGTGACAATAAGTTGGGGCCTTAATATCAGAAATGAAAATGATAGTTGTCATGGTGTGCGATGATATGCTTCAGATTTTAGATAAGACCTGTGCATAATTTCAGAGGTTTGCTAGTTTTTTCCCAGCCCAGAAACTCAGTATCAGTGGCTCTGAGAACTGCAGCTGCCTCTGGAAAGAGAGTTAATAGATTTTACTCATCTTACAAATCACTGTTGATGGCCTGCACTACCCATCAGCTTTCTGCCATGCTGATTATGGTCCAGGTGTGCTGCCTATGCAAAGAAGAGCATGCTAAGTCAGGACAGGCATACTGCCAAGCAGGTCCCAAGAAGTCACTTGGATTACTAGTATTTAAAGGGGCTGTTTGTTCACTATGCTGACTTATACACTGTGACTCCTTCTGAGGAAAAGATGTTCTGATACAGCTTTATGGGCCATAAGATCATGATTGCCATTCCAGATGTCTTACCATTCAGTACTCCAGAACATTATATTGCTCCATAAGTTCACTTAGCTTCACATTGTCAGTGCAGAGTTAGCTGTGTCATGTGGATACTGTCAGTGGTCCTTCAGAAAAGTCTGTCTCTGTTGGTTGTATGTGCTGTGAAGGTGCCCAGCTGACTTGTCCTGCTGAGCCAGACCACTGTTACTGGCACTGCAGCGACCGCTCTGCTCAAGCTAGGCAGGCTTCGTGCTGTTGGTCTTATTTGAAGACAAAAGGATTAGCAGTTGCTGCAGAGACTCCACTCTTTGCCAACAAACTCAAGCAGGCATTACAGAAAGGCAAGTTAATCTGATTTTATGTGCTTCTGGAGCAGCTACAAAGATGAGTGACACCATGGCAGAGCTTCTGCAGGGAGCAGCTTGGCAGCACTGTCCCTTTCCGAGTTGAACAGAGTCTCATAGACACTTAAAATTAATAGTAAAGATGTCTTTATTCCAAAATAATAATAATAATAATAATGTGTTAGCCAGACAGCTACAAAACATCTACACAAGACTTTGGTAAGAAATATTCATGGTAGCTTTTTCATAATTTCACAGCAAACAAAAATGATGAAGGAAATCTAAAAATGCAGTGAAACAAAACTTGGTGGAAATTGTATACTGCACACAGAGTCCTACTGTACAGTTGTTAAGCCCCTAATGTTTCTTTTTTATGTGTAAAGCTTCTACAGTTTGTATGTTAGAAAAAACCCCATACACACAATGCTAAAATCTGATAGTTGAGGTCTACAAAACTGGATGATGTCTGTGCTTTCAGTTCATCAGTATTATTCAGGAGATAAGTGAGACAACAGTTCTTGGTTTTATTGACTGATAATCAGTGGCTATTACACTACTAGAAAGTTTACAGTAACAATGCAATACTTCTACATATTGTATATCAGAGCTTTTTTTTTAATTATTCTGAATAGAAAATCAACCTCTTATTTTTTATTGATTTGTTTTTGTTTGTGGTTTGTTTTTTTACAAAATGTAACAAGCTTAAATCTTACTTTTGTATCAAGTTAGAAAATAGACAAGTGACTTGTAAAATGTTTCAACAGAAAAACAGTGTGAAAAGCTGAACCTAAGCAGGTACGATCACATATTTCTGACCCAGTGCAATGTACGTTTTCATTGCATGTATTAAAAAAGGTGGGGAAATTTTTTTTTCTAACATTCATAACTTTAATGAGCCTAAGAGAAATGACTGGAAATCACACTGAACAACCTCCAAAGAGGGGGGGAAGTATTATGGAAAATCAGATTAGTAAGAACCACAGTGAAAGGAATGCCAGATTGTTTGAATGGATAATTTTGTAGGCATGTTCAAAAAGATGTTGTGTATATCCTACATACCTAAAGATGCATTTGGACTATGGAGCCTTTGGCAAAGGGAAAAATTAAAAGAGAAAACAGCTTGATTAACTGGGACAAATATGAAAATAACTTAGCATTGTTATTAACTGATTCTTTAAGAAACAGGCATGGTTTTGCAAGATTAGCTTGAAGAAGTGGTAAGGGTTGATGAGATAAAATACAGTCCATAAACTCGTAGCATTTTTTTTTTTTTCCATTGAGGAGAAACTTCCTTCTTCTGCTCCCTCTGCCCCAAACTCTCACAAATCCAAGCCTATAAAAACCCCCTCTGTCACACATTTCATGGTCAAAGGTTAGATTTGAATGGTTCACCTCATCTGGGATTGACTCAGCATGAGCAGCTCAGCAAGGTGGGTGGCGGGTTTGGATTGTCTCTGCCTGGAATAATTCTCTGCATCCCTCCTCTGCAACCATCTGTTTTTTCACCTCTAATGTGCTCAGCTGGTCACTTCTTCTGTATCTATATCATTCCACTGTTGTTTATTTGGGGGGTGTCTGTGTCATAAAAAGGATAATGTGCAAGGTAGGGTCATAAATGCATGACTTAGGGACTGTCTGGCTGCTACGCTGTATGTGATGACAGTGCAACAGGGACATGAACTGCAGAACCTTCCAACAGGCACAAGGAGGCAAACTATCTGAATTAATACTATTAAATGAGCCAAGCTGTGCAAAATGTAAAATGTTTGGTTTTAGCATTAAACCTTGTGGGTGTTTTGTTGTTGTTTTGGTGTTTTGTTTTTTTTCTCCTGCTTTGGTTCACTAAGGGCTTGCACCCATTTTTAGCAGCAGTGGGAGAGGCTTAACACAGCAGTAGGTTCTATTATTTCCCTGGCTCTTCTTTCATCCCAGGTCTTAAAAAAGCAGTAAGATACCTTGAGGGGCATGGGATGTGACAGCTGTGGAAAGTCCTGAGCAGCCCCTGCAGTGTTCAGTGGAGCAACGAAGAAGAAAAGCCCCACAGAGTAAAGCAACCAGCCCATCCAGCCCATTCAGGTACAGGGAGGTAACAAGACGATTCCCGGGTTAGGGATGGTGAAGTTGAAGAGCCTCAGTTGGTTGTGGTTCACATCAAATGTGACACTTAAAACCTGGGTGGTTGTTTCTCAGGATTGTGACCAAGTCTTAAGAAAGTAGGCACATTACTTAGGGCTAGTTTAAAGAGACCATAAAATATTTTTTTCCTCCATTCATTTCTCTTAAGCGTGTTTTAAGAGTCAGTATCAACAGTCTTTATTTTCAGTGCATTGTTATTACTTATGTAGAGACATTGGTGTATGCTGCTTTTCCTGGACCAAAGGATAACCCATCACCTTCATATCTTATGTTTAATGTTAAATTGTTAAACTTGCAGGACAGTATTATATTCCAGTAGCTAGTGAAGCCCAAAGTCTTGCTGATCCTATACCTGGTTACATGCTGGGATGAGAGTTAAACTCTGCAGGGAGATGGTGTAAAATAGCAAGAACAAGTAGAAGTCTGAGGAGCTATTTCCTGATTTCAGACAGTTTGGTGAACACTCAGGTGGTCAGGGAAGATGTTTATCCTGGCTAGTGTATCTAAAAATGAGTACTTATCACAAGTTTAGTAAGTTTTAGATCCTCCTGTACTCTGAGTAAAATCCCATGAATGACACTGCTGTAAATGCATTCTTGTGTCAAACTGTAATATTTTAAAAGGTTTTAATTGTTTCATTTCATAGGCCTTTGTTCTAAGGAATGTATGACAACCTGTCTCATCTTTTCTATACCATTTTTTCTATATTATAAACCTCTTTGCTTGTGATTAACATCCTCACAAAAGTGAATCTAATTTTTAGTGCCTCTCATGTGGAAGTTTTTCTGTGACACAGCTATCACAACTCTCCGTGTCTGGACCGATTCCTGGTAGTTCTGTATTCATTTTGAGAGGCAGTGGATAGACCAAATATAAACTACGGCACCTAAATATGTTATGAAATTGACACATTTTCTTTGTGTGCTGTTGTGTATCTATGTGGTGGGCAGATATCATTACTGAGCAGAATAAATTATTTCCTTTTTAAGTTTTAAAGAAAGAAAGACCATTTTGCAGGGACCATAGCATCCATTTGAAGAAAAGTATATAGGACAATTACTGTAACTATCAGCTTAAGCCAATAGTTTAAAAAGATAAACATGCACCTTTAATATTATTGAACCAGCATTACCAAAATTACTCCTTGGCATAGTTGTGTAATCACGTAGGCACTGCTTTGGATTTTCAAAATCAAATTAAGAGAGAAATCCTCCTACATACGAAACACTTCAGTTTAACTCAGTTTAACTTAGTTTTGTTAATATGCATGCATCCCATGTCTTTACATGTAGTATTTCTATATGGCTATTCCATGTCCACAGATATGTCTGTATTTTAGTTAAATGTCTCATAATCACTATTTTTATGCATTAAGGGCTGGCTGGAGTACCAAAGATTTACTCTCAGCATAAATCTGTGAGGAAATATTTATAAAATATATTTCTTGCACCAGCAAGACTAATAAGCAAACCACACTGCAAAAATGAAAACTAATATACACTTTCTATTTTTTGTTTGTTTGTTTTAAAAACCAAACCAAGGTTGACTTTCCATTTAGCTCAGAGTGCATCACTTGGAAGCCTTGTGTTTTGTTAACAAGGATGAACATTACATGCTCTTAGCTCCTTTTTGTCTTTGCAACTAGTAAACTGAGTACTTTTGGACCTCTTCTTTACCATCATGTAGCGCTCCTGAATTCCCCCTCCACAGATTGTAGAACATTCTGTCCAAGCAGTCCATGGTTTCAGCCTACAAACTGAAAAAAATAAGTAATTCACTTAAGTTGTTAGTATTTCAGTCTTACCTAGATATCTCAATATGTGTATCCTTATGCATGTATGCACACAGCTTTTGAATCTAAGATAGCATATTGCCTAGTGTATTATAGCAGCAATTAAGAAACCCAAGTTAAGTATAATCAAGGAGCATTTGTCAAACACTGAAACAATCTATTAAAAATAAATTTACTATCTACATTATAAAACAGACAAAATTAAGGAAGTGTTACATGTCAGACAAGCGTGGACCTCAATTTAGCAGTAATTTATGTTGGAAAAATATAAACTATACCACTATATAATATGTTTTATTTATTTGTGGCATCAGTGCTCAATCATACTGCCCCTTACTGAAAAAGCAGTCTGAGCAGATCTCTCAGAGCAGCCTGAGTCTGAATCAGGGTATTGATGTGGAAAGCAGTTTTGAAATTCAGCATCAGATCCAGGAACAAATACTTCCAGAGTTCAAAGGTAACTGGATGCAAAGATTATCACCCAGATCTGCAGAAACTGCATCCAGTCCTTTGCCAGGTGTAAATTGTAGATTTTTTTCAAATTCCACACTTTGTAGCGAAGAAGCTAAAATATTTCAGAGATGGGACATGGACAAATGTGAGCCCTTCTCCATTGTGCCCTAAATTTAGGTCACACGTTTCTGGTGACAGGCAAACACCAAAAGCAGCTCTGCTTTACTTGGTGGCTAAAACTCTCCTGAGACTGAAATGCTGAAAATGTTGTTGCAGCACCAACCAGAACTGCTCACAAACTCCTGTTATGCAGAAGAGACAGACATGAACATACTCAATAATGGTTTCACACTCACCTGGATACTGCTCACTATCTATATTTTTTTTTGCTTGTTCACTTCTTCTTTTCTCCCGGGCCTCTTTCCAGCGCCTTTTTTCCATACCTGGGCCTCTCAGGCATTTCCTTAGTCGACATTTTGTACGTTGGACAGTTTCTGGGCATGCTGTTCCACCAAACTGTGGCTCTATTTTAATCATTCTTGTCCTGATCATATGGCCCTTTCCACATGAGGTATTGCATTCGGACCACTGGGACCACTCTGTTAGTTCACAGTCGATGGCTGCAAAGAATGAGAAATAATACACAGAAGTAATGAGATTTAAACGTAAGGCCAAGAAGAAACAGACAGATGTGCCTAATGAGTTTTTACATTATAAATACAGGAATTCAACTGAAGTCTCCAGTCTTTTCAGCGTATTTTGTGATTTTCTTTTTCAAGAGTGGTGCTGGCAGATCACTGAAATTCCAAAAAAAACCCCATACAATTCTCCTATGCCTTCTTCAATTTTCCATTCTGTACACCCATACATCTGTTTTATAATGAAAAGCTGTTAAAATTGAGTTATATTTACAAAGAGTCTGACACCTCTGAGATCTAAGCCTTGCTTTACTGGTAGTGTTATGCAGTAAGCAAGATTCATTAATACCATTATGTCTTAAAACTCTTCATCTTTTTAGCACTGCTTAAAACTCACAGCCTCACTGAATAATAGTCAAAATTCTATTTTACATTATTTTATTTAAGAAAAGCTGAATTAGCAAATTACAGTGTAAAAGCCTTTTCTAGCCAATACTTACTGTGAAAAATAATGTAATTAGTTATAAAGCCTCATAAACCAGCTGGCAACAGGACAGTAAAAGCAATCATATCTTATTCACTAGCAGTGCCTTAGACTGAAAAAGTTGAAAGACTGAAAAGCAACTGGAAATTTGCACCACCTAAGAAGTGGGGGATTTTAGTGGAGAAAGAAAAAAAATTAAGGCAGTTGTCTCCACACCATCCACTGCCTCACATATGAGCAGGCTGCAGAGGAATGTAGATCAGTAAAAAGGCTACTGTTCAGTTCAGAGATGTATCAAAGGTGGAACTTCTTTTCTGCTCTTTCTGTGAGCTAAAAGAACCACACAGGTGATTTAAATCCTCCCTCTTTTCTTCCTTCCTTCCTCCCACTTTTCTTCCTTCCTTCTTTACAAGCACCCATTTTACATTTGAATAAAAAATAGGGTTTATAATTCTGACTTATTTGCTATGTAGAAGTGCACAGACAGTTGCCTAAACTTAAGGTGTCACGTTAAATATGGAGAAACCATATATCCAAAGCAATATAGATCATCAGTATAGAGCTGAATAAGGCAAGCTGAAATTAGGACGTGATCACAGTCCAGCTCTCAGTAGTCAAAAGTACACAATAATACTTTAAAAAACAATTATTAAAAAAAATACACAGATTATAAATATCCTGTATTACAGATTCCCCTGTAGGTAGGACTTAGGTGTAATACAGGGATGGAAAACGAGAATCAGAGCAAGAGAGAACTGGGTCATTTGCTTACAAAATTTATGGAGGCAATTACTTCTCTTGCCAGTTGTAGAGCCCTCCTCAAGTCAGAACCAGAAATCAGTCTACAGCATTCCTGATTGCAGAGAGCATTTATCTAAGATTTTCAAATGATATTTCATAACCAAAGGCAAGCAGGAAGTAATTGCCCATAACTTTTCTCAGATAAAAGAACTGTTGCAAGCATCTAAGAACCAATACTAAAAATGGTGGTAGTTTTGACCCATGGACTGCAACACACATAATTAGTCTCCTTTTTCCAGAGAGTTGCTCACACTTACGGCACTCAGGCAACATGCATTTTTCTGCCTGTTCCAGCTCCTCGTTGCAGTCTCCAAGCTCAGCAGCAGATTTCAGCATCCTTTGCCGGGTTCGCATTCCTTTCCCGCATGTCACGCTGCAGTCACTCCATTCAGACCAGGGAGAGAGTAGGCAGGGGATGGTATCTAATGGAAAAATAAAAAGGTAACAAATTCCTGTTATGCATAAATTACAAAGGTGTACGTTTTGAAAATCAGGCAGGTGGAAAGTGTGCTAGGTTTTATCTGTCATCAACCAAGTATATTTTGTTGCTGCTTTGGATAAAATAAATAAGAAGCTGAATTATGCTTCTGAAGAAGCTCAGGAAACACTAAAATAAATTGAAAGGTTTGCTTGGTTTTAATGCCTTTTCTTTGCTATTTCTATACCTGTGGGGAATGGTTGATCTTGTCTCCCCCTACATAAGACTAAACCAAATGTCTTTCAAGCCAGCAAAACAAGAGTGGCATCTTTTTGCTGATTTAGCCAAGGATGGACTGGAACAGGCCCCTGTCCAAAACAAGAAAAGAGCATAACTGCAGATCCAGTGCTTTTGGGGACTACATAGTTTAAGAAGGTATGTTTCAATCATAACTCCTTTAAAAAAACTTGGATTGTTGCAATGGACAACTGGAAGTCAAACAGATATAGTCTAAAATGAGATACTTCCACATTTTATCTACCAAAAATCTTCTTTAAATTATTTCTGTCTGTGATGAAAATCATAACATTTCTTAAGAAATTAAAACCAATATTAGTAGGCAATGTAAGGAGAAGAATGCATGAAAGGAGCACCTCAATTTCTCAGCTGTTCATGGGCTAAAGGGACAAGGCTCTGTTTTACTCTAGCCTTATGGCTTATACCTCATACTCCATAAATTAGAGTTGCTTATGTATGACTTGCTAATATACGCATCACTCTGTGGGTAATACAGTGAACATTACGTACTGAGACTATCATTCTGTTGGTGAACATGGTACTTAATACACAGTCCTTAAGGTGTCTCATTTTAAGAAGAACATGACAAAACAACACTGCTTCTGGCTTAGTTATTCTGTTTTTGTGATGGAGCAATGTGTCAGAAATGCTGCCTCTCTGTAGGAGAGGAGAGAAACTTATGGACACTTACGGCATTCAGGCATCATGCATTTCTCTGCCTCTGTAGTTTATGGCTTGCACATGGATCCATCAGCAGGAGTCATCTTGATCATTCTGTGTCTTCTCTTCATTCCCGTGCCACAGCTAGCACTGCATTCATCCCACTCTCCCCATTCAGTGACAAGGCAGCTGCTAGGGGCTATTCAAAATGAGCAGAGAAAATTATTCAGTAGTAGAGCTCATGTAATAAAACATCCTTTCTGAGTGTGCTCCAGTAGTTGGCTGGATTTTACAAAGCTGAATAAAATACTTACAACACTCCTCATTTACAATACATTTCTCGGTCTCTTCAGTAGGCACTTTGCACATAGAGCCATCTTCAGGGAATTGCTTTACATATCTCTCTCTAGATCGCGTTCCCATCCCACAGGATACGCTACAGGGGGACCATGTAATCCAGTCAGACATCATGCAAGTGGAACCATCTAAAATACAGAGAACCATTTCAATTGCTAATATTAACATAACTGCTGATAAATCTGTAGCTGCCCATTTGTGTGCAGTGTCACTTTTATGCTGCCTCTCCCATGCTGCCTTCCCTGTTGCTTGCTCTACTCCTTTCCTTCATGTTTCTGTGTACTTCACGCACCGACTCTGCAGAATTGACTAGAGATAGCTTCAATTGTACTCTTCAGCAATTTTTCCTCTGTTTGCCATAAGCCAAGTCATAGAGCAACCAACAGCTTTAAGACCTTTAAGGAAAAAGTAAACCCTACAAGGTATTCTCCTTCATCCTTTCCTCTGGATTACCTTCATCACTGCAGCCTGGGCCCATGCACGGCTGAAAATCTTGTGTATCTGGACAGGGAACACTGAGGTCCAGCTGAGCTTTAAGCATTCTCTGCCTCATCCTCTTGCCCTTTTCACAGGTAGAAGAGCTGCAGGCTGACCATGGGGACCAGTTTGAATATATGCAGGTCTCAGGGGTGTCATCTAAGAAGTACGAAAGGCAGTAAATGTTAAGTCTTCTATTTATTTCTCTTTACTTGGCTCGTGATTACTTTAGATGCTACATTCTTTCCTCCTGCATTCTATGTTCTCCATACAAGCCCAAAAGAAAAAAATAAAAAAGACCAATTGCCAACTTTCATTTAAAAATAATAATTTTTATTAGAACCCTCAAAGGCTTCTCTATTTTATTACTTATATTGTTATTGCTGTCTTCCAGGTATACATGCAATTTCTTGGCTGTGTAAGAGAAGGCTAATAGTAAATACCAGAAAAGATGAAAACCTAAATCACTTTTTGGCACTCAGTGAGAGTTTTGCTCCTACTTAATCTAGAAATGACAGTGGTGGATGGAACAAAAAATAAATGAATACAGAACAAACTAATTTAAAAGTACCTTCTTCTTTTTCCTCTGGTGCTAGATCTGCCACAATATCATCTATGTTATCAGGCACGATATTGCATTGCTCCCCCTGCAAAGAGATTGTTGTGGAGATTGGATACAGGAAACTCGTTGTGTGTATGCAGTGAATGGTTTACTGGGAGGAACTATTGCATGGGCAGCAATTATTCTCTTGTAATTCCTATACACATTTAAAAAAATAATAAAAATGCCCAATTAAGTAGGTGCAACAATTACCAGAAGAAGGAGAAAGAATACCATAAGATAGTTTTAAATTTAAGACACAGTCTTGGTTATTTTCTGCCATTACATTTGTTGTGGGTGGGAGTGTAGAAGAGGGGAGAGAAAGGATTATTTTTTAGGTTATGAAGTGGGGTTTTTCACTTGCTTGAGAATTTTATTTATTATACCTTGCGTGCAATTCTCTCGATGACAACTCTGGCTACCAGCTTGATAGATCCTCCTTCTGGGTCATAAAATGGACTTTGAGGATGATCTAAACTTGTAAGTGGTCTGATCTTCTCTTGAGGAACTGTAGGTTTGTTAGGAGACTGCAATAAAAAGAAAATGTTAATTTTATTTTTTTTTTTTAATGAATAATCAATCTGCAGGAACTGAAACTTCTCAAGAATTCTAAATATGGAGATTCCCATGTAAGATTAACTGGGTATGTTCATACTTAATGGTAAGGTGGTTTTATATGTTTGTTTGCTTGTTTGGTTTAGGAAGCATTTTTCTAACACTTCAGGATTCAGCCCTGAAGGTTCACAATAAGATGTATGCTCTGTTAGGTGCTCAGGTAACTACATTAATTTAAAAAAAATCATTCAATATGCCTGCAGAACTGCATTATAATTGAAGAAATTCCTTAGGTTCTAAAGAGACTGGATCTGAATTAAAACTACCAGCCAGCTTCTGTCATTTGAAAGTGTGTGGTATGTTGCATATGTGGAATATGCATGGTATTTCAGGATGTGACTGATCTTGCCTAACTTCAGCTGTCTATGCAGTTTGTATAGACACTTGTCACCTATGGAAACCTAACCAATTCAGTAATTTGATGTAACTCCTTTGGTCAGGCAAAAGACTTTACCCGAGGATGATGTGAATCTTTTCCTAGACTGAGAGAGTGATGGAGACAGAGAAATTGGATGATTGTAGAGTCTCGTAGTGAGGGAGTTTCAATCCCTGCTGTAAGGAATAGTTAAGTTTTCTGTGCCAAGCAAAATAGTTGGCATTGGGTTGAAAGAGTAATAGACTCAAGGTGATGTGGCTTCTGATGGCACACAGGTTTGTATCAAGGGGCTTGGACACTTTAAAGCTCACTTTTGAGCAATCAGTCCATTTATTCGATAGGTGAATATAGTATCCCAGGCCAATGTAATATTATATCATTAATAATAATGCTCAGGGAATTCAGTCACCACAACTGACAGTTACTGTAGCTAGCATCTATCTAAATTACTTTTAATTCATTATGACAATTTTTTTATTAGAGTAGTATAAAGGCATATATGGTGTTTCCAGGCATCCAATAGCTTTCATTCTTCACTGCTTTCAGGTAAAGTTTACCTTCTGCATGTATTATAAATAGTCCACATACCTCATAAGTTACACCACTGTCTGTGCCAGCATCCCAGGGAATTAAATCCTGGACGACTTTCTGAACCCAGCCACAGTCCTTGGTACAGAGGTCTTCAGCAGACAGACCCACGTTCCAGTCCGGGCTGGGGCCAAGCATGGTGAGGAAGGACATCAGGTGCCGGTGACGATCGACAGAAAACTCAGCAGAGGGAGCAGCTCTCCTGCAAATTGGCCACAGGAAGGCTGTTAACAACTGAATTCAAGTTTGCTGTTAGAAAGCAATGAAGCTGGTGCTTCAAACTGGGATATCCAGAACACTGGCGTGACACTGTCTGCTATGTAGGGATGGAGGAGACAGAAAGGACCGGAGCTCCTGCTCAGCACTTCCATTTCAGTCTCCACGCACCACCCGAGAAACTGCTTTGACTTCGTTCAATAACATATACAACGTAATGGGTGAGAGAAAGTTGTAGCAACACGAAGCTGCAGCAGCATGCCTAGGTCTTAGGTTTTTAGTAATTAAAAATCTGTCACAATACTTAAAAAATTTGAATTGAAATATAAGGAAGTGCCCAAAGGTTTTGTTGCTGGAATATTTTTGTGTGTCCCCCCCAAGACAATAGAATTTCCAATGCCAAATGTGCTTATAAGTGCTACTGTGTGCGTGTGTGTGGAAAAAAAGCACTCATTAGTACAGTTTTACTGCTCATGTGAGAGATTAACGGCCCTTGCCAGCACTAGAGAGTTCAGCCAAGACTTTTGCAGGTTTCTGCCAGTGTGTGTGAAAATGCCTCTATTCATCCAGCCTTTGTCAGCCGTTCAGCCATTCCCTGAGGAAGGAATCATGCTGAATCATGCAGTGCTTTGAGATGCTGACAGGCAACTATCACATTCCTATGCAAACAGAAAAAAACAATCAGGCCTGAACTGGAGGTTTCTGTTCACAGATGAAAAGCCCGACCTCTTCATGGCATCTTTTTCATGAGCAACAACAAATGTGGAGCTATTTAAAGTATGATTTTGGCAAATCTGCCTTAGCAAATTCTGGCCTGATGTCCACCCAAATTTTCTTCAGTTACAGGACTTGGATCAATACAGAGTTAAGCTGGGGGTTGGTGGGTTCTTTTTGGTTTGTTTTATGCCAAAACATAATGCTTTGTGAGCATCTGACATGTTTATTCTTAATGTAAAGGGGGTTTTCACAGTATTATTCATCTTCCCTTCCTGGGTTTAGTAGCTGTATAGATAGATAATGCACATACACAGTTCTTCTCTAGACATAGGGAGTTTATTCTTATTAAAAATGCTTATGTCTCTGTAAAAACATGGCATTTCATTTGTGTATTTATTCTGGTTCATAGCATTCTCAGCACATTAGAAAAAAAAAGAGAGCAGCTCAAAGACAATGATTTTGCAGTACTTATCATGCAGTTTCAAATGTAAGATGTGTAACTTATTGTACCTAGTTCCCCTTCAAGAGGCAAGCTGCAGAAGCAGGCATTTGCCAATGGGTAAAATATTCCGGTCACTTCTATTCCAGAGTCTTCAGAAGTCGTTTCTTACTGTGTGAACTATCTTACATTGAATTAAAGACTCTGAGTAGAAGAGTTTCTAAGTTTGATGACATTAATCCTACCTTTCCCAAAAAGAGATTTAAATGATTTTATTATTTTTTTTTTCCCCATGACAGATAGGACTCTGATTTCAATGCAACAGTTTGTCTAATGTAAAGTAGTAAAATAATGACTAACAGTATCGACTTTGCTCTGTGAATACAGTATCCTGATACATTTTTCAAGTATATAGCAGTGATTATTCTGAAACAAGTCTGCTAGCTGACTTCAATTAGCTAAAGGATTTACTGCAGCATAAGGATTTCATAGAATTTCCTACAGGAATCTTTTATTTTAAAAAAATGCACAGCAGAACTCTAACCAGACACAATAAAAATAACAGCGTTGTGTGTTTGTGTGACATTAAGAATATGTCTAATGTGGACATTGCAGGTTTCAATGCTGGGTGCACACAGGCCCTCAGGTGAGACAAGAGAGGCAGCCACACTTACACCATTTAAAGGCAGAGGGTTGGAAATCTCTTTACTACTTCAGACACATTGTAATGGAAAACTTTTGTCACCTGTTATTCTTGTGATAGGCATATACAATTAAAGCTGTGAATGCTTTGTTAGGCAAGTAAATATTAAACATGCTATTAACATAAATCTACATTAATTCTGTATTTAAATTATACCAATATTGAAAATGTGTAAAGAAACACTTTAGTAGGAGATATTCTTTGCTACAAGCCTTTGGATGTGTTAAATTATATCAGTAACACTGAGCCTCCCATAATTTTCCAGTTTCAGAGCACTTCACAAAAATTACGTATCTTCTGCTCCTAATTTAAGACAGATAGCTATTTTCATGGCCATTTCACTGTGTTTTATTCCATAACTGTCTAAGACAGAAATATAGCGATTAATAGAGGATGAAATGAGCAAGTTTTCTTCCCTTCCTCCACTCTAGCAGACACGTAGACACACACACATAAACCTTGCAGTGAAGCACAATGTGCTAGTTTGGATACTGTAAAATTTTTATATGCAGGTTTAAGAATGAAGTATTTTAATAGGTGTTATCATAAAAATGTATTCATTGCACTTGCTACTTTATTCTATTAATTAATTTCTTTGTGGATACTTGTAAGCAGGATACATACAAATTTGAACCACAATTGGATCATGTTGCCCAACATTCAACACTCACAGTCCTTGAGCTGCTGTAATTAAGGAAGTGAAGTGGGCTGACTGAAGGCACAGCTTATAACTGCCACCTCAGCATATGTTTCCAGTATCCACATGAAGGATGAGTTTATGAAGCTGGCAGGAACCTAAATCCTTCCACGCATACTTCAACACCATATCTGGCTCAAGTGTCCTGATATTGGCCTGTGGATCTTTCTGAAGGAAACCAGTGTAAAAATGTACTCAAGTGTACTCTAAAACTGATCTTTTCCATTTCTGTAGTTGATGCACCAGATAAAATAGGAATGTAGACCATCTGCCTTATCTCTCCTTTCAATACAAGAATATATTGCCATTTTCAGGCTTTTAAATTTTAAGAAAGTGTTCTGCAAAAGGCTGAGCATGTTTGGTAATGGTCACAGGAAAAGCTTTTAGTTTGTACGTGATGTGAGGTTGCTGTAAGAGACAAATGCATTCCTTTTCCTTCCCCTACACAGGTACATGCATAAAACCAGTGATGAATACAAGTTACGAAGCAAATCCTAAATATGAGGCAAGTTCTAGGTGACAACCTTGAGAGTCCCAAATGGCTGGGGAATCCTGCTTCTGTTGGCTGACAGCGCTTTGCCACTGTGAGCCTGATCAGCCTAAGGACAATTCCTGTCACACAGAGTGAAGCACAGTACTAGATGATGTCCTGCATCTGAATGTTTTCAATGTTCTCAATTTTTATTCTATTTTCATTTTATTAGCATGATTTGGATCTCCAGCTACAGGGATGCCATATGCTGTGCAGCATATGAAAATGCTCTTTTATTCCCCAGGTTTTTTGTTTGGGGTTTTTGTTTGTTTGCTCGCTTTGTTTGGTTTCGGTTTTTTTTAAGGTTAGAGAGCACAAACATTATTTTGCTTTACAAGTTTTTCCCCCTAAGTGACAATCTGGTTGCTCTCACTGCTGGGGATTCAGGGTTGTGCGTGGGGGGTGTGTGTTCAGAAAGCCTTTGACAAACCAACAGAAAACTCAACTTGCTGCATGACATATTTTTGGGTGTTGCATCAATACTGTTTTGCCTTATTGATATCCCTGTAAAAGTTAATAGG